CCACTGTCTTATTAAGAAGCACTGCCGTTGATGTATCCGGTGAAATTTATTATGCCAATCAATTATCATTTAAAATACAATCAGAATTAAACGCAGCATTTAATGATATTGTACCTGACTCATTCTTAACAATGTATGGACAAAGCGAACGCAAAATGGAACTTAAATTAAATGACCCTCTAAATTACAAAATCAAAATACCAACTGACGAAGAAGTAGAAACTTGTGTAAATAATACGTGGAACAGAGGACAGTTTGAATATGACAAATTAAAACCAAAAACCATTAATTATTTATTAAGTAGTTATATTGCCTATGATCCTGCGTCATCTTGGTTAAGTGGATACTTTAATTTAGTTCCTTTTCAGAATGTAAATATTAATTGTCCTCAATTAAGCGGTTACAAATATTCAGCACCTAACAATTTCAGTAGTTCAGTAATTAAAAAGGTTCAAATTAATCAACAACTCGGCGGAGTAATAACAGATTTTTCAGCACCAGTGTATGCAGATTTTACTGATGTAGGAGATAGAAATGTAAAGAGGCTACACTTTAAAATTACAACTTCAAGAAATGAAGTAATTGATTTTCACGGTGCGCCTATCCAATTTAGCCTTCTCTTTCAATGAGATTAATGAATAAACAACCTAACTATCAATATTAAAACCAACTTATTAAAATTAATATTTCCAAATTTTGTCCATATAGACAAAATATATAAAAACATATAGACAAAATATATAATATATTATATATGTCAGAAGTTGAACCTGAAATTACTAATACAATTGAAGCAGAAGAGCCAGTAAATGAATTACCACCAATTGAAGAAGAAGCACCAAAGACAGAACCAATAATAGAAGCAACACAAGAAATAAAACCTGTTGAACCTCTTAAAAACAACTCAAAAACTCAAGCACACAATGGAAAGAAAATAACCTGTCCAAAATGTGCCAAAACTTTAACATTAAAATCTTACAGATACAGCCACGAACGCAATTGCCAAGGACCATTAAAAACTAAACCTGTAAAACCTAAACCAAAAGCAGTTCCAATAGCAAAACCCCAGAAGGTAGCGCACCACGAAGTAGCACACCACGAAGAAATCCAACAACCACAACCGCAACAAAATAATATAATAGCGAACACACCACCCCCAAGAAGAATGCAACCAGCACCGCCTCCAAACCCGCTACAAAATATAGCGCAACATTACCAATTATTGCAAAATGAATATATAAGACAGAAGCGAGAACAATATAATGCAGTAAATAAAGGTATGTTTGGTTCAAGAGGAAAGAAAAGATAACATATAATTATTATATAACCTACTATATAATAATTATGTTTTCAACATTATCACTGGACGGCTCAAGTAGAATTGTAGCAAGTGAATTAGTATTAATAAATTCAACAGAACCATCAACCTTAAGCAGTGTTTATGCTACAAAGCAAGAATTAGCAGATACAACAGGTTCATTAGGTGACGGTTAGACTACTGAAGAAGTAGATGCTCTTATCTTAGCACAGAAAAGTAAAATTGATGCTAATATTCTTGATATTCCTGAATTAAATGCTACTTCAACAACGATGTTTAACGAGCAAACAAATCAAAATATAACAATCACAAGAAATTTTAATAATATCACTGCTTACGGACTTACAATAACTTCAATACTACTAACAATAACATCAAATGTCATAAAACTTGATACTAATTTTAATAACACTAGTTCAAATACACATTTAATCAGTAATTTAAATGCTACAATAACATCAAACTTCAATACTGTTAGTTCTAATACATTCTTAGTAGGAAATTCCAATACTACAATCACTTCAAACTTCAATAATGTAAGTTCAAATTCTTCACTAATAACAGGACACAATAATACATTAGCATCACATTTAGCAGTATTAACAACACACGATAGCAACATCGCAACAAATACAAATGGAATAGCAATATTAAATAACACTGTAGGTAGTAATATGACATTTGCTAATAGCCATCAAAATCCAATAACCTCTCATATATCATTAATTGACACAAACATTAATAACATAACAGGACACGGAAACACAATAACAACCATTCTTACAGATATAGCAGATTTACAAGCATGAGCGGGTGCTTCTTGGACTACAGCTGAAAAACAACTATTCAAGCAGATGTATCAACATTATATACAAACGATACTAATTTATTCAATACTAACACTGCTTACAGTAATACATTTGCTTCAATTATATCGGATAATAATATACAAGATTTATTAATAACTCAAAATTCAAATACGATTAACAGTTTAATATCAGCAGATTTGCAAAAGTTAGATAAAATAGATACTAACGCTCAGTCAGTAGCAGGTGCTACTAATGTTAGCGATAATGCAACTTTACACAGTAATTTAAATATGCTGACTACTGGTTCTATAATATGTAATAAGTTTAGCTGTACCCTTCACCAAATTTAGGACTACAAACGACATTTCAAATGTTTAATCGTGAGTTCAATATTAATAGAGATGGCAGAATTTGGATGTCAAGCTCAGGAGGCGTTTGGGAAGCGCAAATCGGAGATGGTAATGTCGGAAGAGTGTGGGTAAAAAACAGGTTCGGTTTAGGGGCCGTTGGCGTTGTTAATTATGTTTTAAATTGTGCTGGGCAAGCAAGATTTACTGACGCCGTCCAAATTATAGGTACTGATAAAGCAAGTAGTCTCAACAATGGTTCATGCTTAAATTTTGCTAATAACGGTTCAATACGAAGATATACTCCTGATGCCATAGAAGGTTTGTATATGGCTCATAAGAATTTTGTTGCCGTTAGTGTTGGTGATATTACTAATTCTTCTAATCAATAATTTATGTGCGACGGTGCTGTATCAAAGGCCATATTCAATAAACCAGTTGATGTATTAGGTGATGTATATACAAACGGCGATTTAACAATGGTGTCTGGTAAAAAGGTTGAAGTAATTCAGGTTCAATCAGTATCAGGTAATACTTTATTGTTACAAAACTCACCGAGTGGCAATGTTCAATTTGGCCACACTTCAAAACTAATAATTAATAATGCTGAAATGTATCTCGATACAAACGATTTAATAATCAGAAATACTAACACTTTAAACTCTATAAGTTTGGTTGTTGGATTACCTACAACTTACGCTGATGATAAAAATATTTTGAATAGTGGAAGTAATAGCGAATTACGAGGCAATTGGACTATTGACGGTGATATGACTTTTGGAATTGCTCATGAAACAATTTGAGACATCTAAATAGTGATGCTGTTTTAAGATTAGAAGCATCAACAACTATTGATAGTTATATTGACGGCACTAAATATTTACAATTGGATGATACTCAATTTTCATCATTTAAGGGATTCAATCTAAGTAGTGATAAGAGACTGAAAGATGATATAGAAGATGTAGAAGATGACACTATAAATATGGTAAAAAAACATTAAGATTAAAACATTTGTTAAGAATCAAAAAACCAGATAAAACTGGATTAGGATGGATTGCTCAAGACGTTCAACAATACACAAATCCTAAATATAATGTTGTAAATGATTCGGGAGAATACAAAACAATGTGTTATGATCGTATGGCTTGTATTAGTTGGGATGCTTTATCAAAACTAATCCATCGTGTAGAATATTTGGAAAATGAAGTCTTTAAAAAGAAAAAAATACAAATATTATATTATAACATCATAAACTACTTAAAGAAGAATTGCCTTTTTTAATATAGATATGAGTTTATTGAGTAGGAAAATTGATGAAAACGGCTATGTCATCATCAAGCCAATGGTTGAAATTGATGTAGATAAGAAAGAAGACCTGAAGAAGTATAACAGGTTGTATCACAGGGAATATTACAAAAACATATTGAGTGCCAAAATTCAAGGTCTGCTATGTGGCTCAACAGTAGGGAAGGACAAAATCAAACTTCATCAAAAAACAATGAAATGCCAAAAACTGTGTGAGTTAAACAATGAAAACTCTGAATAAAAATATAAAATTCTTAAACCACTTAAAGAAATGTCATTATAATATAATATACTATATTATAATGCCATCAAACATATAGAATTCAGAGTTAGATTTTTGAGAGGATTAAGAGCAGGAGCAAGTGAGAGAGTGAGAGACATAATGCAGGAAATCATTGACTTGTACAGTGATAGTAAAATATCCAATTACTCAACTGCTCAGAAAATGACTGAAGAATTGAAAAGTGATAGTAAAAGGACAGTGTCGTTTGCTATCAAGAGAATTGAAAAGAAGGCATCAGAATGGAGAGGTAAATAAGAATGAGAACCAATGTTAAGAAAGAATATGCCATCAGTTTTTTAGTTTATGGTAAATCCACAAAGGTAGGTAGATATAGTTTTATTGACAACTATGGTCTTAGACACAAACTAATTATACCAGACCCCCAACAGATTATAGTAAAATCTAGTGAGGCAGACAGAACACCAAGCAACTTAACTAACAAATACTTAGTAAAATACCCTTCTACCGATTACCTGACTATGTTGAATAAGCAATTGAAAAGAAAGGATATAACAAAAGAACAATACAAAGAAAGAGCAACAGTAGAAGCATTCAAAGAAGCCAATTTAATACCAAGTGAGCCACCTAAAAGAAGAAGATTACAAACAAAAATTGCACCAGATGAAGTCATCCACGACACTGCGTGATCACGAGGCAGCCCCTCCTCCACGCAGCCCAAGTCCAGCTGGTAGGCAACAGGCTTCACAAGACGCGTGGAATGAAGGACGCAGCGCTGACGTTGCCTTTTGCCGTCCCCTCTTCCTTTTGCAAAGCTGCCTGCGCAGTGGCCAAGAACGAATGAGGACCAGGAAACTGTGTAGGCCCCATGCCAGTTGCGTTCAACTCCTTGCCGCGCGCCTGCAACGAGCACGCGCAGCCAAGCGGTTTTTACGCATCCAAATGAGGCCAGGACCCCCTTCTCTGGAGTCAGGGCTTCACCCCTGCGCATCGGAAGAACCATGCGCGCTCTGCGTAGCCACAAAACGCCTGCTGAGGCGGCGGCAAGCTTTTCCAGACACGCTTGCGCACCTGTCTTCTTGAAAGCTGGTCTTGGGGTGCACAGCAGCTCCTTCAGACTCGTGATTGTTTGGCACTTCCGCGTGCTCCTTTTGACAGCAGGGCCGGCCTCGTCTCGAGATTCCTTCTGAGATGCTGCGAATTGCGCAACCAGCCTCCCAAAAAAACGGAAGCAGATTGACGCTTCATGGCAAAGTCAAGCCTCGAAGCCAGTCCGTCAAGCCCTGCGCGAACAAAAGCCTGCGAGCAAGTTTTAACGTCAAGGATTCGTTGCAACGCACAAGGAGGAGCAGGCAACGCCACTGGAGCGAGAAAGGGGGAATCAGTCAAAGGGGAATCCAGGAACCGGGTTGACAAGAGGGGCCGCGCAAGCTCCGCCAGTCTCTGCCTGCGGGGCACGCCGCTTCGGCGCCCCGCCGCGCCTTCATCGTGTACTGGCGCTCCAGGCTCTCAATGTGCCCCTTCCGCTCCGCCAGCATGGCTTCCAACTTGGATTTTTCTATGGCCTTGGCTACAGCGGCAACCTCACAGTGGCACGAAGGCAAAGCGCATGGGCAAGAAGCAACCATTGATGCCACGCCGCTCCCATGTCTGAACTGAACTGCCTCAACTTGTTCAGCTGGCTGTGAAGGTAGGATCTGTCTGCGCTGTTTATCCTTTCTGCGTCGCCTGTCTGACTCAAGGCCTATACAGCAGCGAAACGAATACATGAGTCCATGCGAGGCCCTTAGGTGGTTTCCACTGACATCAGCTGCAAGGCAAGGGTTACAGTAAGGCAGCAGGTCCTGACGTGCCTTGCAACAAGTTTCGACGACAAGTTTCGACATTCGTGGGGAGCCCGCACCTCGGATAGGACGCGTGTCCAAAGCTGGCGCAGCTCAGCGTCGAAGCCTTTCACGCCGTCCTCCAAGGCGGCCTTCAATGCCTCAGTCTTGTCGAACGACATGGCGTTGCAGCCGCCCTGTTGTCACTGAGTCACTTGCCGATGGGATGAGTTGGCACATCGTGTAAATTGCAGGGGTGCATCGCTCGCCGCCGCGCTGAGCAACTTGAACCCACGTGCGACACAGAATTTTAGCCCTTCTGGGTGTAAGCGCTCAACCAAGACGATTCGGAAGCAAGTGCGGTCAACATGCCGATCAGCAGGGCTCCGGCTTCAACACATTCTTTGCTTCACGCGTAATTAACAGAACTTTGCCCTCGGAAGCCAAGCAGGCGCACGCGAAACAGGAACGACAGCGCCTGCAAGTCTCGCACTCAGCTTTCTCCAGACGCTCAGCGAAGCGCTGCGCCTGTCCGCATCGACCGCCCTGCCTGTCTCCACCGCGCCTGGAGTGTTGGAACGTGTTGGAACCGGGAGTGCTTACTCTTCAAAATCATGCCACGCCAGCCAAACGTTGCCTAAGCTTCCGCCAAGCTTTGGCTGCGCAAAGGGGAAACTAAAACAAAATACAACACAAACCAAACCTTACACAACAAACCAAACACGATTGAGCCAATCACGACACCAGTCACTGCGCCGTTGGTTTTAGTTTGCGACACTCGCTTTTGAATGGTTGTCACTGTATCAGTGAATCAGTGAACCAGCGCTGCTCTTTTTGCCTGTTGTCGAAAGTTCGGAACACATGCGAGCCACCGTCCGTACAATCCGACTGGTATGAGTACTACGCGCTCGGATCTTCTGAGCCTGCTGCCTTTACATTCTTGGTGTGCTCCTTCAACCGAGGTTTAATTTTGGGTTGCCTCATCCAGGCGGCTGATTTCCAGCACCCCAAACACCTGCCATGGCCACGTACGGCGGATGTGTCCCACACGCGGGAGGCCCAATAGAAAAACAACGAGCAATAGAGAAACAGAATCGCTGCCTCCTGCGCTGCCTCATTTATGAGGCCTCACAACCGGGCTTCCTCCTTGATATCTGAGGACTGATGGGAAAAGCGATTGCCCCTTCTCACTCTTTGTCGCGGGCAAGAATACACAATGAACCAGCTAAAAAAAATCCTCTACACCCGCTACAAAGTCTGGTTTGTGAGATCCCGGCAGCCGTGTTGGGCCCGCACCACCGTCTGATTCGTTCCGCGCGCCTGCGGACGGGGAACAAACCGCCCAAGCGGGCTCCACGAAGCCGAGGCCGCCGTCCTCAATCTTGTCACAAAGGCGCGGGTACATGGTGGACTCCTGCAACAAGAGCCAGGAGTTCCTGCTGTCGGTCAACCCTGGTACCAGTAACGCTTCCAAGACGTGATGCTGCGCCATGCGCAGTCCTGAGCCATGGTCTTGGCATTGGGCTCCAACTGGTGCGTCAAGTACTGCGTGCCAGCCTGGACCAAGTGGTGAGAGAGACAAGCAATGATGCGCTTGACAAGATCTTGGACTCCGGTCAAATGAGTGTGACACTTCCCAAGAAAACCGGGCGAATGGTCAGAGATCCCAAAAGTGCTTTCGAGCTTTCTGATGATGCCTTCCCGCTTCAAACCATTCTGGGCATGTTGTCGGCTTCGAAGCGAGTTTCTGAGGACCACTGACTTATCCTTGCAAGATGAAATGTCCGGCTGCCTAGATCAGGACCCGTGTTCTCATTCCCTTGACACACAGCTTGCACTTCATGGCCACATCCAGCTCATGGTTCTCGAATAACGACTTGCATTTCCATCTGGACATACAAATCAAATCTGAACAATCCAACTCAACAGGGAAAGAAACACGGCAAACCACTAATCGGACATGTGGGATGTTAAGTTCCTTGAACACATTACCCATTGAGGAATTAGGTGAACAAGCAAATTCAAACATCGGGCCAACAGCATCACGCGCTAGGCGCTTGCGAGCACGCTTGTTGCCAACGGTAAACGGAGGGCGTTCATCGCCCCCTGAAGCTGGCAAGGGTTACCGAAAACGGATGGCTTCTCTTTCGTGGTCTCAGCAAGTGTTGTGCTGGATGCGGTCGACACGGTGACGGCTGCTCCTGAGCTGACAGGGATTTTACCCTCGTGAGGACTGAGTCCCCCTGCTGCGCTTAAAGCTGCAGCCGAATGCTCGGAATCACTATATAACCTAAAAATGGTAATGCCAGTCCAGGATACAGGGAGTTCTCGATGTGCTGAGAATCTGCCTGCCCAACCATCACTAAAATCTTCCTTGCTACCATCTTGCTGGGACACAACGCGAGTGGTCCTACCGGGTGTGATTCTGCACACTGACACAGCACAATCGCCGACATCCTTGGGAGTGAAGAGTTTCGTCCTAGGCTGATGATGCACGCGGATTAACACGTTACCACTAGGCCTAAAAACCCATTCATCCTTTTTGGTTGATGCGGGGACAGCGTCGGCATGGAACACTGGGCCGAGAAGAGGCGGGCTCTCCAAGCAAGGCACGGACGATATCGGGGTCTTCCCCCTCAGGCGCCTCGATCACTGAGGCCTCTGCGGGTTGGAAGACGCCTTTGCAGCGCGTATAGCAGCTGCCTCCTCTGCACCCTTACTTGGTTTGGCGGCCTCCTCACTTGCGGCCTTTTTGGCCTTTGCTTCTTCCTTTTCACTTTCAACTAGCTCTGCGAACCTTTTGCGGCATTCGTCAGTGTGATGCCTAGAACTAGCATGGCCGGCGCAGGCCTTGCATCCAGGAGTCTCCTTGAACTTTATAATCCGTTCAATGGTGATATACAAACTTCTTGACTTAAAGCCTGACGGAGTTGACGGGGCAGGAATGCCTTCAGGAATGAAAGGAACCTCCCTGATTGCATACTCAGGAACCTCGCCATCGCCTGTTCGCAGGGCTCGATCGGCAGCGGCCGCGATCGGGAAAACAGGATCGCCTTCCTCGACGAACAACTCAGGTTCGGGCACATCATGGACAGAAACATTTCCATTGGTCCTGAAACTTTGGTAGTCCATAACTTTTAGCACCCTTCGATATCGCATCCCTGGATCGATACGCCAACCCATAAACAAGCCTGGAGCCATGTTAGGTTCTAAGGTTCTCTTTCCAGCTGACTTTAGGCGATACCAAACGAGTTGTCCGAAGCAACAGCGGACGCCATCGAACTTCTCCTTGGTGAGTGCTTCCCATTGCGTCTTTGTCGGATCGAACGTGGACAGTCGGTCGAAAGACATCGAGAGGCATGCAAAGGGATAGGAATGTGTGTGTAGGGAGTAGGGCAAACCTGATTGATGGTGTATGCTCCTGCAACACTCTTTCTCCTCTCGGACATCTCGCTCGAGCTCGGAGTTGTGTGGCCAGCGATTCGGCAACGAGGTTTCGGGAATCATCCCTACTTCCTCGGCCGCTCCCTGCAACTCTCCAGCTTCATCCATTTTTATGAGACAGTGTGGAGCGAGTTCGTTGGCTCTGAGGCCAATGAAATGGTTGAGATTCCTTGCGTGCGACGGAATGTCTGTCTTAGAGACCGGGTGTGCGACCCTTGCGCCGGAAAACACATCCCTGATGACATGGTGGGATTTTATTCCGCCTATGCCGATGCCAACGTGTTCATCGCCTTTCGCCAAGATCACGCTATCAGTAGCGAGCTGCTGGTAGGGGGCGGTGGGTGCGTCGAGAAGATCGTCACTCCGCCCCCCTGGTTTCCGGGCAACACGCATTGAGGTGTTCTTAGCGATGTTGCAAATCTTGCAGAAGGGATTCTTGAGGAAGTGAGTCCGTTGGTGTTCCGGTGAACTGGCTTCGGCCCGAAGCCGGGGTTCATCACGAAGCTCACCACCTTCTGCAAAATCGACAAGCCTGCGCCCATCATCAAGATGTTCGGGCACCGCTGGTGCGGGTGCAGGGGGTGCTCCAACAGGTGGTGGCACTGGCGGCGGATCCGGGGGCTCGGCCGGAGGCCTTTCCTCCGGAGCTGGCATGGCTGGCTTTCGTTGCGCATAAAGCTAGCAACCTTATTCTCTTGGACCATATCATCAATGAGCGCATTGAGCTGCTCCTTTTCTTCTTCTGGCACTTGGGGAGGTGATGGAAAATCCTGGCATGGATCGATGATGAAGGACTCATTCGGACAAGGACACCACATCATCCTCGACTTTCACGGGAGAACCAACGACATTGATTGGCCGAAGATTCGCGGCTTGATCAACGATCTGTGGTGTGACTACCTCATCGTACTGTGGTACGTACTCGACAACCCTGGAGGCGTTGATCCTAGAACGGAAGCTTGCACTTACCAATCTCAGAGGGAGGTACGAGATAAGAAACGTTCTCTCTGGGGTCCCAGATGAAGAGGTAACCTCGATCGATGACGGTTTTGCCAATTGACTGAGCGGGCGGACATTCGTTCAAAACGTAAACCTGCTCATCAGGTGGAATCACACGGGAGTCAGAGATTTATCTCCTTGTTGCGCTCCTCCGCCTGTGGCAAAGCCTACCGGTGTGTTGGTCTTGCGTACGCAATGCATCATGGTGCTGTTCAGAGCCTGCTTACCGATGAGGTGGCGACCTGCAGCGGTGTCCCATAGCCAGCTGATGCTATTGTTCTTGGCAGGGACACTTGGGACTGCTGGGACTACGGCGGCAACAGCGGCCGGAGACTTCGCCTTGCCGAGAGTCCGTGGGGGCGGCCCAGTGTACTTCTCAGTCGGTGAGTGGAGGGCCCTAGGCGTAGAACACACACGGAACTTTTGCCGTTGCTGTCTTGGACACAGCCTTCGACCTCGGCGTGAGATTAGAAGGGGTAGTGTCTCCCTTGTTTGCACTTTGGGACTTCGGAGGAGGAGGAGGCTTAGGGTTAAAAGGACTTTTACCTTTAGGCGCAGGAGCAGCTGGGGCGCCGCCTTTATCATGCCCTTGATCCCCTTTCTGTTCACCTTTCTTGTTCTTCTTCTTCTCCTTCTTAGTCTCTGCTGGCAAAGCGCTGGTAGCTGCTTCATTGCCCGTGCCACAAACAGCCGGTTTGAGCTTAACATCTTGATCAAACTCATCACGGTTGCGCTTTTGCTGGGCAAGCTCAATGGCCAGGTCTGCCTTCGCCCAAAGCCATGCACAGGTGCGGCGGTGACTATCATGGGCGGACTCACGGGCCTTCTCAACGCGATGCTTCATTATGGAACACTTCTCAAACTCGTCAATGAGATGATTGAAAAGGGTCCGTTCCTTGGGGAGCTCATCAAGAGGTAGCGCGCGGAACATATATAGTTGTACTTCTCCCGGAAAGCCTCGATGTCTGCTACTGACTGGCCGGCAAGTTTCAACCCTAGAAGATTGCGTTCTCCAAGGATGCCGATCCGGTCGCGCTCCAGTTGAAAGTGCTTGAAGATCGATCGCAACATCACGCGCGCATTGGGCATTGCACCTGCGGTGTTCCGTTCGTGCTCCACCGTGTTTTGGAACAACCACCCAAACTTGCCTTTGCGACAGGTCTTCAACAGCTTGGCGGCTATCTCACGGGTTGTGCGTGGGAAACGTTTATCTGCCCTGAGTTGTTCCTCGGATGAGGTCAGGCAATCCTGAGCCCACAAATAGAGCTCGTCACCGGTCGTCTTTTGCAAACGTCCAATGGCCATGAGGACCTGATTCACATATCCACGAATCCACGCGCCTGACCAGCGTTCTCTGGCGGAAGCGGAAGCACTAAACCCTTAAGGTCCTTGATGCGAACCACGGTTTCCTCATATGAGGCCGGATCTGATGCGCTTGTAGCAGCATCCCCACCACTTGCATCTGCTGCTTGAGTCCTTGTCCCTGCCCCCATTCATGGGGAGGGAGGGGCAGGCGGTATCATCATGCGGGCCACCATAGACTCGGCATGAAGGGGTATGACCTTCGTCACCGGATTCTTGAGGATGTGTCGGAGCTTGCCTCCGAAGGTGCGAGTGGGGAGGATGGGAATTGAGCCACTTGACTTGTACTTGCACTTGTTAGCCTAAGCGTGGGAACAGCAGTTGTGTGCTGCGCAGCTACGGAAGGTGGGGGTGCCTGAGCCGATGCGATCGGGGGCGAAGCCCCTGATACCCCTACCTGGGCCACAACTAACATTGAGAGTTGATGGACCAGTTCAGTTAAAGAGGACATTTGTGCCTGTGTACACATCCCCTTACATCCTGAGTCCGAGCGACATCCGGTGGTCCTTGTGGTTGTGCACGTGGATCACCATCCTGGATGTCGGGCTGTGGGGGTGCGAAGGATTTTGGGAAACCAACAGGGGCACGTGGCGCTACCTTAGGGTCACTACTTGAACTTCCCGATGCGCCTAGAGCTGCATCCTTCGGGGGATGCTGCTGCTCACGTGTGGCATCACTAGGCCCTTGAACTTGGGGAGCCTGTGATCCAACCTGGAGGTCACGTCCAACGACATTTTGCCCCGATGACCCGGGATCCGTAGGATTTTGGCTTTCATGACTTTCATCCGGAGGTACCGGAACATTTTGTGCCATGGACGCGACAGCCCTTTCTAGGTCAGCAAGGCGTTGCGACAACAAAAGCTTTCATTACCTAATGTATCTATCACTTTACTTTGCTGGAGGATCTTCTGTTCCCGTGAGGAAATTTCTCGAATAGCCTCTTGCCTCAACCTGGACACTTCGGCTTCTGCGGCCGACCTTGCTTGTTGCGCTTCATGCCTAGCACGTTCAACATGGCCTACGGCTTCCTGTCTTAACAGATGGGGAAATCCCTGACGCCATGTCGGATGCACCTTTCACACAAGGTCAGGCTCACGTATGCTGACACACCGCGCTTCAAGCTGCGGCCGTGCGGAAACTTCTGTTACAACCGGTGTTGGAAACCGGTGTACCTGCTGCGCTTGAGCTGCAGCCTCCGGCGCTGCCTATTCAACGAAAAAGTCCGTGGCCGCCCCTTGCAGAGTGGGCGGCCAACTTCCTCGAGGTACTCGGATTGGTCGAGCACTCTGGCAGGATGGAGCAGGCGTCGATGCTGGCTGAGGTATTCGTGGAGCTCGTCCAGCGCGTCGTAGAGCGCCCGACTGGCGTCTCGTCGCCCGACACCGATGCCCAGGGCGCCTGCGGTGCGACACTCTTTGAGGACCGCGTTGTTGTCGTCCACGATCACACACGCTCCCAGCTGCTAAAGCTGCAGCCTTGCCGGATTGCCCAACTCGTTTCCAAGTCAGGACAACGTCTCCAAACGGGCGAGTGCCTAGACTTTCAATGGCGTTGTTGCACACGTTGGAAAAGTTGCCGGCAAAACGGAGCGTGTTCTCCCGAGTGTCTCGGGATTGGCAGTAGCTGACGATGCGGAACTCGATGGGGTAGTGGCTGCGGTAGATCTTGGAAAGTACTTTGATCAGCCACTCCTTCGGGGGCCGTCAGAGGCAAACAACGATGGGTTGCCTTGCCTCCTGCTGAGGCGCGCCGAACTGTACCCTGTCGCCGGAGGCGGAGCCCTTTGACGCAGTTGGTGGCTGCTTGACCGGCAATTGTGGTACCGGGGCAGCTTTGTGCCTCGCCGCACGACCTGAGTACACAGCTTGTGCTGTCCTTTCCGCTCAGGTCGTAGTAGGCGGCCCTTCCCTGACCTCGTTCCAGGAGTCTGCATGGGTCGTCCGAGGGCGGTGGATGCGGTGCCCGATGAGTTGGCCTCGGGGCGCCCTCGTACCGATGTTGCAGGATCCAGATCCCTGTGCTGTCGACCCGTGTTGTAGGGTAGGCGCAGTTGGCCGGCGCAAGAATGAGCGTCAGGGAAGCACGGGCTGGAGGTGTCGGGGAGCTTGAGCTCCTTGTCCTTGTGCAGCCCTGAGAGGTGTTCTGGACCTTGGGCGTCTGGACGACGCCTTCGGTATCGAGGTGGGCGGATGCCCTGCCGCTGTCGCTGTCGTCCTCCTCCGCGACGAGGACCTCCCTACAGCCTCGAACCTCCTTGCACCCGCCGCCGGCGGATATGAGGAGGGGCGATGGGACAAGCTCTCAGTTGGGGCTCTTGGTGGAGCCGCTGCACTTTGAGCTGCAGCCTGATCTGCCTGTTCCGCTGCTGCCTGTGCCACCGCTGCGCTTGGAGCTGCAGCCTTGATGGTGGACACAGTTGTGGCGGAGGATGGACTTGATGGGCTCGGTTGTTGTAGCTGAGCGGGTGCTCCGCCGCGCCTTCAGCTGCGGCCTGTGCCCGTTCAAGGATTGGCGGCGTTCGGTGGCGGCCTAGGGCAATGGCAGCGTCGTACAGGTCCGGGCACGCGTCTCTGAGGTGCCTGTAGCTGCCACGCCAGGATAGAACTCCGATGCAAATCGGATGCGTCCTCCCAGGCGACGCGCTCGACTCCGCTGGCAAACTGCTGCCTTGCCCAGCGGGTGAGGGAGTCGAAGGCCTCGTAGTAGAGCTTCCTCCGTTGGGTCCACCCACCACGCCGCCCTCTGGCCGAGAAGGCCGGAGCCGTGTCCATGCACGAAGTGCACTAACTTACCGGACCGAGGGGGCCTAATCCCAAAAAGCAGTTACGGCTGATAACCACTCAACAGGGAAAGAAACACGGCAAACCAGAACCCGGGACCTTTATTGACCCCAGTCCGGTAAGCGGGCGCAAACCCTGGTTTTGACTTGGGCAGAACACTTGAGCCAAATGCGCATTGGCATTCGACATGTCTTGGAACATGCAGTCAAGGGGCGTCGTGGTTATTCAACTATCCAAGTCCATACTCCATCCCGTTTCTCAAAACCTTTTGGGGTCAAGGGAAACTAGTGGAAACCAGGACAGAAGATCCCCTATTTTGAGAAACCCCAACTTGGGCCAGGGAATTCCATTCCTAAATTGATGTCGGATACCCTCTCTGGAATGATCCAAATAGCAGGCCCTGTGTTGAGAAAGAAAACCTAACACCACCAAGCAACGCAACATACCGTAAAGAGAAAACAACGTACAGGCAGGAGCCCAGTGCCAGGCACGCCTTCTCCTCCTTCCTCTTCAACCATGTGACAATCTGCATCTGCAGATCCACACACAAAGGCCAGCGAGCTGATCTGGTGCCCAGGATGCCGTTCCTGGGAAAAACACGTGATGCCGCGGCACTGCGGTGCACTGGCAAACGCCATTCAGCAATGACATATGAAAGTTCAACTTGAACGTCTCTAAGCATGTGAACATAGAGCTCGTCAGTCGGCAGCCCATGACCAGACCATGAGGCGACCTGTTTCGACGCTAGCTCCACAGAACTCGGAGCACTTAAATTAGCGACAAGTCAACCTTCCGTGCTCCCCTGCCTCTACATCAGATGTGAGCAGCGTCTCGATCTTGAACTCTTCTGTTTTGTCAATTCCCTGACGAGGCTGCTTTGGAGCAATCCATCCGACATCTCGCTGTCTGCTTGGGAATCCCTCAAGCATGCGTTGGGGCCAAGAAGCTTTGCTTTGCACTCTCTCTTGCCAGTCGACGTACACCATGTCCTAAGGCTCCGCGCAAACAACAGAAAAGGACACCGTCCTTTTAAAATGAAAACGAAGCCGTTAACTGAAAACAAAGCCTTTGAACATGAAAACGAAGCCGTTAACTGAAAACAAAGCCTTTTGACATGAAAACGAAGCCGTGGACTGAAGACAAAGCCTTTTGAAATGAAAACGAAGCAAGCCGTCAACTGAAAACGAAGCCGTTAAATGAAAACAAAGCCTTTTGAAATCAAAACGAAGCCGTTAACTGAAAACAAAGCCGTTAACTGAAACAAAGCCGTTAACTGAAACAAAGCCTTTTAAAATGAAAACGAAGCCGTTAACTGAAAACAAAACCTTTTGCAATCAAAAACGAAGCCGTTAACTGAAAACAAAGCCTTTTAAAATCAAAACGAAGCCGTTAACTGAAAACGAAGCCGTTAACTGAAAACAAAGCCTATTGCAATGAAAACGAAGCCGTTAACTGAAAACAAATCCGTTAACTGAAAACAGAGCCTTTTAAAATGAAAACGAAGCTGTTAACTGAAAACAAAGCATTTGAAAATGAAAACGAAGTCGTTAACTGAAAACAAAGCCTTTTCAAATGAAAACGAAGCCGTTCACTGAAAACGAAGCCGTTAACTGAAAACAAAGCCTTTTAAAATCAAAACGAAGCCGTTAACTGAAAACAAAGCCTTGTAAAATAAAAACGACGCCGTTAACTAAAAACAAAGCCTGTTGAACTGAGAACGAAGCCGTTAACTGAAAACAAAGCCTTTTAAAATGAAAGCGAAGCCGTTAACTGAGACCGAATCCGTTAACTGAAAACAATGCCCTTTAAAATGAAAATGAAACCGTTAACTGAAAACAAAGCATTTGAAAATGAAAACGAAGCCACTAGATGAAAAACAATGCCTTTTAACATGAAAACGAAGCCGTTAACTGAAAACACAGCCATTTAAAATGAAAACGAAGCCGTTAACTGAAAACAACGCCGTTTCAAATGAAAACAAAGCCGTTAACTGAAAACAAAGCCGTCAAAAAAAACAAAGCCTTTTAAAATGAAAACGAAGCCGTTAACTGAAAACAAATCCGTTAACTGAAAACAAAGCCTTTTAAAATGAAAACGAGGCCGTTAACTGAAAACAAAGCCTTAAAAAAAGAAGAAGCCGTCAACTGAAAACAAAGCCGTTGACTGAAAACAAAGCCTTTTAAAATGAAACGAAGCCGTTAACTGAAAACAAAGCTCTTTCAAACGAAAACGAGGCCGTTAACTGAAAGCGAAGCTGTTGACTGAGAACAAAGCCTTCTGAAATGAAAACGAAGCCGCTAAATGAAAACAAAGCCTTTTAAAATGAAAACGAAGCCGTTAACTGAAAACAAAGCCGTTAACTGAAAACAAAGCCGTTAACTGAAAACGAAGCCGTTAACTGAAAACAAAGCCTTTTAAAATGAAAACGAAGCCGTTAACTGAAAACGAAGCCGTTAACTGAAAACAAAGCCTTTTAAAATGAAACGAAGCCGTTAACTGAAAACAAAGCTCTTTAAAACGAAAACAAAGCCGTTAACTGAAAGCGAAGCTGTTAACTGAGAACAAAGCCTTCTGAAATGAAAACGAAGCCGCTAACTGAAAACAAAGCCATTTAAAAAGCAAAACGAAGCCGTTAACTGAAAACAAAGCCCTTAACTGAAAACAAAGCCGTTAACTGAAAACGAAGCCGTTAACTGAAAACAAAGCCTTTTAAAATCAAAACGAAGCCGTTAACTGAAAACAAAGCCTTTTAAAATGAAAACGAAGCTATTAACTGAAAACGATACGTTCCTTGAAAACAAAGCAGTTGAAAATGAAAACGATGCCGTTAACTGAAAACAAAGCCTTTTAAAATGACAACGAAGCCGTTAACTGAAAACGATGCCGTTAACTGAAAACGAAGCCTTTTATTGAAAGCAAAGCCTTTTTAAAATGAAAACGAAGCCGTGGACTGAAGACAAAGCCTTTTGAAATGAAAACGAAGCCGATAACTGAAAACAAAGCCTTTTAACATGAAAACGAAGCCGGTAACTGAAAACAAAGGCTTTTAAAATGAAAACGAAGCCGTTAACTGAAAACAAACTCGTTAACTAAAGACAAAGCCTTTGAAAATGAACACGAAGCCGTTAACTAAAAACAATGCCTTTTAAAATGAAAACAGGGAGGCGTAGAATCGAATCAAGAACCGCAATCGAAGCCTTATCAGAATCGAATCGCTTCGAATCGCTCCGGGACCGAACCGTGTAGAACCGAACCTGTGCATAACAGCTGGTTGTAAGACTCGACCAATGCAAGAACCGAACCTCTCTTGAACCGGGAACGTTACACCAATTGCCAATTTATGATTGAGATTGACGTGGCTTTGCTCACGCCAGAAAGGCCTCTGCGCAACTTTTGCCGTATCCCACACCCTTCCCTTCCTTTAGTCTCCTCCTTCCCATCCCCAGAAAGTCTTGCAAATGTTCCGGGGGTAGACACCGCCGGCTTCTTTTGCTTGAGTTTCAGACACGGACTAGCAACCCCTCTTTCCAAGACTTGCCGGAAAGAAGAGCTTTGACCGATTTGGTCGGACCCCTACCTATCCCATGCCCTCCCTTCCTTAGAAATCCTCCTTCCCATCCGCGGAAATTGTCGAGGATCCTGACACTTCCCTGTGCCGGCAAGGGGGGGGGGGGGGTGGATTCTTTCAAACTTGGCTCTTACCACGTTTTGAACCTTCTCAAGCCAGGCGAGCAGCAGGAGTTGGGGGGATCATTTCCGATGTTTCAGACTGGTTTCAGACCTGGTTCAGACGAGCTCAGACGCCTTTTGGAGCGTCCCGCAAATACAACGCGAACAAGGACTTGGGCCTGCTTGTTAACATTCTAACCACCCCGAGCCGGCGCACTCCAAGTTGTTTCCGGACTTTTTCCAGACTTTTCCGGACGTGCCATGCTGTTTGGAGTTGACAGAATTGAAATCAGATTCGCGGGGCGTGCCGTCCCATCTCACACAGTCAGGCCGAAGGGCAGGAAAGGATAGGGGTTAGGCTAGACACTAAGTGCTGCACAAGAGTGCAAAGAAGCTGTCACCAAAGTTTCAAAGGATGCTCCACCTCCCCTGCCTCGGCGCCTGACTTGCCGGAAAGAAGAGCTTTGACTGATTTGGTCTGACCCCTACCTATCCCATGCCCTTCCCTTCCTTAGAAATCCTCTTTCCCATCCCCGGAAATTGTTCCAATTTTTCCGGGGGTAGACCCTGACACTTCCCTGTGCTGGGGGGGGGGGGGAGGATCTTTTAAACTTGGCTCTTACCACGTTTTGAACCTTCTCAAGCCAGGCGAGCAGCAGGAGTTGGGGGGATCATTTCCGATGTTTCAGACTGGTTTCAGACCTGGTTCAGACCAGTTCAGGCGCCTTTTGAAGAGTCCCGCAAATCAGGCACAACGCGAACAAGGACTTGGGCCTGCTTGTTAACATTCCAACCACTCCGAGCCGGCGCGCTCCAAGTTGTTTTCGGACTTTTTCCGGACTTTTCCGGTCGCGCACTGCTGTTTGGAGCTTTTGACAGAATTGAAATCACATTCGGGGGGTCCCATCTCACACAGCCAGGCCTGGATGGGCGCCAGTCAGGCGCCAATTCTGTCACAGGCTCACAGGTTTAAACAGGATGGCACGTCCGGTCCGGAAAAATCTGGAAAAAGTCCGGAGTGTGCCAACTTGAGGTCTTTCCGGAAATGTTCGCAGACAAGCAGGCCCAGTCCCTTTTCTTGATGCGCCTGATTTGCGGGGCTCTCCAACAAGGCGTCTGAACTGAGTCTGAAACATGGCAAAGCATCCCCCGAGCCTTGAGAAGGCTCTCAGCGCCCGTGCAGGGAAGTGTCAGGGTCTACCCCCGAAGAATTGGAACAATTTCCGGGGATGGGAAGAAGGATTTGTAAGGAAGGGAAGGGCATGATAGGATAGGGGTGAGGCTAGACACTTAAGTGCCGCGAGAGTGCCAACAAAATTCCATCAACACAAAAGTTTCAAAGGATGCTCCACCCCCCCCCTGGCTCGGCGCCTGACTGGCGGCCGATCCAAAGCAGATGGCCGCAGCGTGAGATGGGACGGCGCCTCTTTCACCTTAGAAATCCTCCTTCCCATCCCCGGAAATTGTTCCAATTTTCCGGGGGTAGACCCTGACACTTCCCTGTGCCGGGGGGGGGGATTCTTTTAAACTTGGCTCTTACCACGTTTTGAACCAGGGGAGCAGCAGGAGTTGGGGGGATCATTTCCGATGTTTCAGACTGGTTTCAGACCAGCTCAGACGCCTTGTGGAGAAAAAGAGTCCCGCAAATCAGGCACAACGCGAGCCGGCGCACTCCAAGTTGTTTCCGGACTTTTCCGGACGTGCCGTGCTGTTTGGAGCTTGACACAATTGAAATCAGATTCGGGGGGTCCAATCTCACACAGCCAGGCCTGGATGGGCCGCCAGTCAGGCGCCAATTCTGTCACAGGCTCACAGGTTTAAACAGAATGGCACGTCCGGAAAAATCCGGAAAAAGTCCGGAAACAACTTGGAGTGCGCCGGCTCGGTCGGAGTGGTTGGAATGTTAACAAGCAGGCCCAAGTCCTTGTTCGCGTTGTGCCTGATTTGCGGGACTCTCCAAAAGGCGTCTGAACTGGTCTGAACCAGGTCTGAAACCAGTCTGAAACATCGGAAATGATCCCCCCAACTCCTGCTGCTTGCCTGGCTTGAGAAGGTTCAAAACGTGGTAAGAGCCAAGTTTAAAGAATCCCCCCCCCGGCACAGGGAAGTGTCAGGGTCTACCCCCGGAAAAATGGAACAATTTCCGGGGATGGGAAGGAGGATTTCTAAGGAAGGGAAGGGCATGGGATAGGTAGGGGTCAGACCAAGTCGGTCAAAGCTGTTCTTTCTGGCAAGTCTTGGAAAGAGGCGTCGTCCCATCTCATGCTGCGGCCATTTGCTTTGCATCGGCCGCAAGTCAGGCGCCGAGCCAGGGGAGGTGCCAAGTTGTTTCGGACTTTTCCGGACACGGCGTGCTGTTTCCTGACAGAATTGAAATCAGATTCGGAGGGGGGCCGTCCCATCTCACACAGCCAGCTGTGGACATCTGCTTTGGATTTTTGATATGGGCCTGAAATTCTTTTCATGCTGCACACTGGCTTGCAAAGAATTGTGGCCTGAGCAAGGTCTGAAACAGGTCTGAAACATAATATATGTGTATCCTATATTTAGCACTAGATCTTGGTACGGAAGGCGAATGAATGGTATTTAGTGTCAGGAAATGGAGCGGCTTTCCGTAGTGACACTGTTGCCGGATGGGGTAGGAATCGAAAGTCTATAGAGCCCGAACCGACACAATCCTAGGAACCAAATCGACCAGAACCGAATAACAATTCTGAGAGATTCAGTTCAATGCTAAAAGATCCGAACCGCACCCATTGACAATCGAACCGGGGTCACCCTGTGAAAACGAAGCCGTTAACTGAAAACAAAGCCTTTTGAAATGAAAACGAAGCTGTTAACTGAAAACAAAGCCTTTTAAAATGAAAATGAAGCCGTTAACTGAGACCGAATGCGTTAACTGAAAACGAATGCGTTAACTGAAAACAAAGCCTTTTAAAATGAAAACAATGCCGCTAACTGAAAACGTATCCGTTAACTGAAAACAATGCCTTTTAAAATGAAAACGAAGCCGTCAACTGAGAACAAAGCCTTTTCAAATGAAAACGAAGCCGTTAACTGAAAACAAAGCCGTTGGCTGAAAACAAAGCCTTTGAAAATGAGCACGAAGCCGTTAACTGTAAACAAAGCCTTTTAAAATGAAAACAAAGCCGTTAACTGAGACCGAATCCGTTAACTGAAAACAATGCCCTTTAAAATGAAAATGAAGCCGTTAACTGAAAACAAAGCCAACAACTGAAAACAAACCCTGTTGAAATGCAAACGAAGCCGTCAACTGAAAACAAAGCCGTTAACTGAAAACAAAGCCTTTTGAAATGAAAACGAAGCCGTTAGCTGAAAAGAAAGCCTTTTAAAATGAAAACAAAGCCGTTAACTGAAAACAAAGCCGTTAACTGAAAACAAAGCAGTTTAAAATGAACACGAAGCCGTTAACTGAAAACAAAGCAGTTTAAAATGAAAACGAAGCTGTTAACTGAAAACAATGCCTTTTAAAATTGAAACGAAGCTGTTAACTGAAAACAAAGCCTGATAAAATGAAAGCGAAGCCGTTACCTGAAAACAAAGCCGTTAACTGAAAATACTGCCTGTTGAAATGAAACCAAGCCGTCAAATTAAAACAAAGCCGTTTGAAATGAAAACGAAGCCGTGAACTGAAAACAAAGCATTTGAAATGAAAACGAAGCCGTTAACTGAAAACAAAGCCTTTTAAAATGAAAACGAAGCCGTTAACTGAAAACAAAGCCTTTTAAAATGAAAACGAAGCCGATAACTGAAAACAAAGCCTTTTAAAATGAAAACAAAGCCGTTAAAATGAAAACAAAGCCGTTAACTGAAAACAAAGCCGTTAACTGAAAACAAAGCCTTTTAAAATGAAAACGAAGCCGTTAACTGAAAATAAATCCGTTAACTGAAAACCAAGCCTTTCAAAATGAAAACGAAGCCGTTAACTGAAAACAAAGCCTTTAAAAAAAGAAGAAGCCGTTAACTGAAAACAAAGCCGTTGACTGAAAACAAAGCCTTTTAAAATGAAAACGAAGCCGTGGACTGAAGGCAAAGCTCTTTAAAACGAAAACAAAGCCGTTAACTGAAAGCGAAGCCGTTAACTGAGAACAAAGCCTTTCAAAATGAAAACGAAGCCGTTAACCGAAAACAAAGCCTTTTAACATGAAAACTGAGCCGTTAACTGAAAACGAAGCCGTTAACTGAAAAACGAAGCCGTTAACTGAAAACAAAGCCTTTTGAAATGAAAACGAAGCCGTTAACTGAAAACAAAGCCTTTTAAAATGAAAACGAAGCCATTAACTGAAAACGAAGCGTTGCTTGAAAACAAAGCAGTTGAAAATGAAAACGATGCCGTTAACTGAAAACAAAGCCTTTTAAAATGACATTGAAGCCGTTAACTGAAAACGATGCCGTTAACTGAAAACGAATCCTTTAACTGAAAACAAAGCCTTTTAAATGAAAACGAAGACGGTAACTGAAGACAAAGCCTTTTGAAATGAAAACGAAGCCGTTAACTGAAAACAAAGCCTTTTAACAGCCGTTAACTGAAAACACAGCCTTTTCACATGAAAACGAAGCCGTGAACTGAAAACGAAGCCGGTAACTGAAAACAAAGACTTTTTAAATGAAAACGAAGCCGTTAACTGAAAAACAACGCCTTTTAAAATGAAACCAAGCCGTCAAATGAAAACAAATCCTTTTAAGATGAAAACAAAGCCGTTATTTAAAAACAAAGCCTTTTAAAATGAAATCGAAGCCGTTAACTGAAAACAAAGCCTTTTAAAATGAAAACGAGGCCGTTAACTGAAAACAAAGCCGTTAACTAAAGACAAAGCCTTTTCAAATGAAAACGAAGCCGTTAACTGAAAACAAAGCCTTTTGAAATGAAAACGAAGCCGTTAACTGAAAACAAAGCCTGTTAAAATGAAAACAAAGCCATTAACTGAGAACAAAGCCTTTTCAAATGAAAACGAAGCCGTTAACTGAAAACAAAGCCGTTAGCTGAAAACATAGCCTTTTAAAATGAACACGAAACGGTTAACTGAAAACAATGCCTTTTAAAATGAACACGAAGCCGTTAACTGTAAACAAAGCCTTTTAAAATGAAAACAAAGCCGTTAACTGAGACCGAATCCGTTAACTGAAAACAAAGCCTTTTAAAATGAAAGTGAAGCCGTTAACTGAAAACAAAGCCTTTTAAAATGAAAACGAAGCCGTTAACTGAAAACAAAGCCCTTAACTGAAAACAAAGCCGTTGAAATGAAAACGAAGCCCTTAACTGAAAACAAAGCCTTTTAAAATGAAAACGAAGCCGTTAACTGAAAACAAAACCTTTTAAAATGAAAACGAAGCCGTTAACTGAAAACAAAGCCTTTTAAAATGAAAACGAAGCCGTTAACTGAAAACCAAGCCGTTAACTGAAAACAAAGCAGTTTAAAATGAAAACAAAGCTGTTAACTGAAAACAATGCCTTTTAAAACAGAAACGAAGCCGTTAACTGAAAACAAAGCCTTTTAAAATGAAAACGAAGCCGTTACCTGAAAACAAAGCCGTTATCTGAAAACAAAGCCTTTTAAAATGAAAACGAGGCCGTTAACTGAATACAAAGCCTTTTAAAATGAAAACGAAGCCGTTAACTGAGTCACAGCGCAGTCTGCAGCACTCCTCGCACTTTTACCCGGAGACCGCGAGGGTGGCAAAAATAACCCAAACCAGGGCGGGCAGGGCAGCAAACACAGCCTGTTGGCCGTGTCTGCTTCCTGCCGGCCCCAGTCCCGGATTAAGGGTATTCACATACTCCACGTTCCGCGTGAGTGCGTGTTCAAAGAATTTCGGTCTCGTGAATCCGCGTTAAATAAAACCCAGTGCAACAGTGGTTCCAGGGAGCACCCAGAACCACAACCTAGTAAGCACCGGGAAAACCAGCCCAGGTTTCCTGGGGTGGTGAGTGATTTCATCGCTTGCCAGGCCAGCATGGGAGTGCCACTTGGCATACGGCGGTCATGCCAGCCGGCCTAGGGGGTTCCATGCGACCAAACCAGGGATCAATCGGGGGCGCCTCTCCCCCCCCCAACAACCGGCTAGGGGAGGGGCTACCCTCTTCCATCGCCGGTCTTCTCTTGTAGTTGGACGTCCTGCATGTGGAGAGCCAGGAGGTCCGGATCCAGGAGGGTGTGAAGCCATCCACCACCAAGATCCGGCGTTGCATGTCAAACCCAGCGAAGTCCAGGTGAGTGAGTTGGTCCGCCCACACGTTGGAGAATCGCTTGACATGGTGGAGAGACGCAAAGACTGCCCGTTTCTGTTCCTGCGCCAAAAGTTCCATCGGGAGAGCAGAGCAGGGCCACTTCTTCGCAGACCGCTTCGATGCCGCATAGGCGTTGCCTTCATTGTCTGTGCGGAGGGGTATATGTACTTCCATGAGGTGGGTGGCCACCCTGTCTACTGCAAACATGAACAGGAGCAGAGATCCCAGGAGCTCCAGGGCAGCTGCGTCAAGCTGGGCGAGTGTGTGCCAAGAAGGGGGCCAAGACTGTCCTGGATAGGCGTCCGCCTAGTTGTAGTTCCGATCGTACGTGTCGTAGCCATTCTGGAGCCCAGGGTCCTTAAAACAGCATCGCGATTTAAATGTCTCAAGTTGATTTTATGAGCAATTCCAAAAGTCTTATCACCGTCAATAGTCCAGTCGCCGCGTACTTGGCTTTTACTTCCACTATTCAAAATAATTTTATTATCAGCATATGTTGCAGATAATCCAACAACCAAATTAATAGAGTTTGAAGTGTTGCTATTCCTGATTATTAAATCATTTGTATCGAAATACATTTCAGCATTATTAATTATTAGTTTTGAAGTGTCGCCAAATTGAACATTGCCACTCGGTGAATTTTGTAATAACAAAGTATTTCCTGATACTGACTGAACCTGATTGACTTCAACTTTCTTACCAGAAACCATTGTTAAATTGCCATTTGTATATACATCGCCTAATACATCAACTGCTTTATTGAAAATGGTTTTAGATACTGCACCATCGCACATAAAACATTAGTTAGAAGAATTACTAACATCACCAACACCAACAGCAACAAAATTATTATGTGCCATATATAAACCTTCTGTAGCATCTGGTGTATATCTTTGTATTGAACCATTATTATTAAAATTTAAAAATGAACCATTGTTAAGACTTATTGCATTGTCAGTGCCTACAAACTGAACAGCACCGGTAAATCCCGCATGTCCAGCACAGTTTAAAACATAACCAGTAACACCAACAGCACCTAAACCAAACCTATCCTTAACCCATACACGACCAACACTAGCATCTCCTATTTGAATTTCCCATTGACCTCCTGAACTACTCATCCACATTCTGCCATCTCTATTAATATTAAATTCTCTCTTAAACATTACAAATTGCATATGTAATCCATTGCTCGACGCCCTATAATAATTACAAAGTAAAGTATCACAAGTAATCATTGTAATAGTATCTTGAAAAGTTGAAGCACTACTAATGTCAAGAGACGGCAAGGTGACGTCCCGTGGGACGCTGTCCACCGAACCCTCCAGCTGTAAATACCAACCACGTAGAAAGGTGTATACGGTCAAACCGTTATAGCCGAACCCGTGTAACTGTTGTAAGGGAGAAGGAATAATAGTTACAACAGTGGTCCTGACAAATGCAGCGCAAGCGAAGTGTTTTCCGCTCTCAATTGCCGATCACGTATGAACGCAGCTTCACATAAGATCTTGAACCTCACTTGTGACTTGAGCCAAATGGCAATCAATGGAACCTTGTAAGCAACACAAACACGGACCTCAGAACTGCTTCCCAATTTAGGCGCGGGGCCAGGAGGGTTTTAACATCCCCCATTTGGGTCGCATTGTTCATCATGCGGTCCAGACACCACAAAACGTTCCAATGGCCACGGCTTCAGCTACGAAATTGTGTCGAGCACTCTTTCACTCGCTATCGCTACACTGTTCATTCATTGTGAAACCTGCCGGGTTCGATTGAAACTGGAACGTGCATTTCATGCGTCCAAGATGAATGGATATGTATACAGTTACATATTCCGACGGCTATGACATTCCGGATATTCATGGATGGAACTATTACCTCATGGATGATTTCTTTTTCATTATATATATTATTCATGGTACCTGGAATGGCTATGTTTTGCATTGATTGCTCACCGATATTTCTTTGCCGGTGATATGCAGATTACTTACGATCATGCGCTGCTGTGAACTTCTATGGCCAACCCATTTCTGTGGATGACGGCTGCGCAATGCGCAAATGCGGCAGCTGGGATGTTCAATGGTTGCGTGATGACGTGAGGTAGTGCTTACCTTGCATCTGCATATGGGATCATATCATGATGTAGAGTCGTTCCATCGCAATGACATTGATGAGACGCAAGCAATAGATGGGGACTAGCCCGCATCATGCCGCAATCAACATCGGAGTGAATATATGTATTGCTGTTGGTGGGCGCACCGCACCGCATAAGCATTAATAATCCACATCTGTATTACGCATACCTGTCCCCAATGGACAGTCTGTGGGTACGTCGACGGAACTCTTCGTCCAAATCCTTTTGGGCTTCTCGCGCCCGGACACACTTCTTGTGATGATCTTCTGGCATCCAATGCCCCATTCGGAGGCACCAATCCAGCAGAGGTGTGTCGCATTGTCCGGGTCAGTGGCTGCAATAATGGCGCTCACATTGACCGAATAACCATGTCTGCCAAGGTTCAAGCCTCCCCTTACGAACGATATATATTTACAGTTGAAAGCCAGGGAGAAGCATCTGTAAACGATATCGCCCACCGGGTGCACGCGATCCTTGACCAGGAGCTTCATTTCGTCTTTGGTGATGTCGAGGATTCTCGCTGCAATCCACAGCTTGTAAAATATGTATAGCCCCTCGCATTTGTATACCATTAGACGAATGTATTCATTACGCTCCTCAGCCGACCGGAAGGTCCTTGTCCGAACGTTCTGAGATTGGCTAATCTTCACTGTTGTTGACGGCAACAGGATCCCTTCCTGATCGTGCTCAGTCATGTTGGGGTACTTCTTGAAGTCGTTGTGGTATGGGCAGCCTTGCTTCCCTTCGTGCGCGGCATCGATCGTTCTCTTTCTCTTTTCACCCCCTTCGAACATCCCCCACAGCTTTGACATCTGCAGCGCGATGAATCCCGCCATGTATTGAGCTTCGCGCGGCTCATCAAGGCAAATCGCCATCCGCTGGGATTTAATGATATCCCGCGATGCCAAGTCGACTCATTGTCGCGGTATTGCCAACCGCCATCTTTTTCCTCAGACATGTATCCGGACGTGTATCCTTGCGTGTCCATGTCGTCGTCTTCAGGAACGTTCTCCGCCTCATCATCCTCTTCCTGTGCTGCCGCACCATGGTTGGCTTCGTCTTGTGCGCGCCTGGCATCACCCGAAACATTGGGCCTTTGGTTGTCCCCATCGTCTTCGGAACTGATGTGGATGCAAAATCTCCCGGTAGAGATCAATTGCGCCCCACATTCCAGGCACACACAGAAGCATGTGGGAATCGTGGTCGCACATGACGGACATATCCGGCATCGTAGCCCTTCCCATGTCTCGTCATTCAGGATGACGACTTTGCTGATCTCGTCCCTGATCTCGTTGGTCTGCGCATCAAACTCCTCCAGCTTGTTTTCCCGAAACAGTTCGCATGCACGATCAACCATGTCTTTGATGTAGTGCAGATTGTCGGCACCTGCCTCGGTCTCAGGCATCCTCTCGTTGATCTTCGCGACGTTCTGTAGGAACATCGCAGCCGATTCCTGGGAGGAATCGACGAAACCCGGACAGATCTCGTTTTCCACACATTTTGAGTACGCTCGCTTGACGTCCTCGTACTCCAGGCATCTCCCTCCGTTGCTTTTGCCAATCCAAATGGACTTGATCTCATAGAACGGGATCACGTCAAAGACCATGAACGTCCCATTTGCCGCGACTCCAGCTCCATACCGCGCGAGGGTTGCACTGGGAATGTAGATGATCGCAATCGGATCCCCCGACCTTACGTTTCGTAGCGTCACCTTCGTTGCTACGTTCATCTCATCCCATGGAGCAAATGCTCCGAAGTGCAATGCTAGCCTGTTTCCGCCATCGATCCCGCCGGGGACTAGCCCACAGCGTACGATGCTTGGCAGGTTCTCCACATACGTCACATGGAATGCTCCTCCGAGAGAATCACCCATTCTTGCGGAATACCTATTTGCCAGTGCGGATGAGCTCATGAATCCAAAATCACTGTGACCAGTTGTGACTCGGATGCACCAAGGCCTGTACCATCCATCGCATCTGTTGAACATCCTGTCGATGTCATCCCGATCCAGGCCAGCATAGTTCATCTCCTCCCTGGCCGCCTTCATGTCATTCGGGTTCATGACGCTTGGAAACCTTGCTGCCAGGACCTGAAACCTCGATTTCTTGTGTCCGGACTCCTGCCACTTGATCACTTCCATGATGCCCATGTATCGTTTTGCCCTCGAAGTTGAAGGTGGGAATATGTCGTTATTTCGGTCGTCAATGACTGCGTCGATGTCGACCCATCCACCTTCATCGCATCTGAAAACACTTCCTCGGCAATTGCCGATTTTGTGTCGAAGGACTCTGCATAGGTTGTGAGATAGCTGGTTTGCTTGATCTTTCGTAGCAAATACCGAGCGATCGTCGCCAATCTTGCATAGCGGAGCACCGTCAAAGGGAGCAACGCAGAAATTGACGCTCTTGCCAAGCTGCATCACATCCACCTGTTCAAGGATGGCACCCTTGATAAAAGGACTTGGGGTCAACAATAGATGCGTACGCCCATGGCATATGCACATCGCTCACGTCGCCGAACTTCGGGATGTAACATGGGATGGTGTCACACCCTCGCTCTAGCGTCGTCTTGAACGTTCTGTTGTCCCCGCACGGATTGTAGGTGAGGTCCACGCCACCGCATTGTAGCTCTCCTCCCTCAGCCGTGTCAGCCATCTCCACCAGACTGATGGTATAGCTATACATTTCTATTGTCTCTTTCCCTTCTTGTCCTCCTTTCTTGCGTTCCTTGGACGTCGATGAGAACGGTTCTTCCGTATCCCCCATTTCTTCATCCGAGGAAACATGATCGCTGCTGAGAAGCTCACGGATCTTCTTCATCGCCTTCTCATTCCCAGCAGCCTCCTCATAGTTCTTGCAGTCGCCGTCGTGGGCCAGGTTCGCGCCTCTCATGCAAATTCCCATCTCTCCCATGCACTTTTCCATTGAGACCAGGAACCCGAGTGCAGCTCTCCGCCCACCAATCACTCGCTGCTTCTTCTCTTCTTTCTCAACGTTGGGCTGAGAGCTTCGGCTCGGGTCTGGCACTTGACCAAGACCGTCGCCTTCACTCTCTGCCTTCCTCTTGGATCCTTGGGTGGCATGCTCGGCCGTTAGGGATCGCGGATGTCTGGGCTTGACCATGTTCATAATGTCCAACACTTCTTTCGTGGGCGCCCCGAGCTGGGCGGATGGTTTGTTCCGCTTTCGGTTCTGGCCCGTCGTGCGGCTCACGTTCCCGGCGAG